TGTGTGTGTGTGTGTGTGTGTGTGTGTGTGTGTGTGTGTGTGTGTGTGAGAGCAGTATGTTTAGGCTGCTGCTTTAAGTCTTTGAAAGTACTAGCTATAGTAAATGCATCACATGCTGTTAATTTAGTCATTGTGCTTTCTGCGCAGACTCCATTGGTTCAGTGAACATAATTACCCATCATTTCTCTGGCTGACAGGTTCTCTCACACGCTGTGTTTGATAAGGGCCAAAATAGACCCCAGTGTGGTGCCCCTAAGGATTCTGGGTAAGCGCTGCTTCCCAGTATGTTCGTGTGACTTATTTTTTCCATTGTCCAGGCACACTGATGGTCGGAGTAGTAGGCAGTTATAGGGATTGTGGTCGTGGTTGACAGTGATGTCCTGGGATCCAAAATGTGGCTAGCAATTGTCCAACACATCTGTGCACTTTCTGCAGTAATACCATTGTCCGTTCCGTCCTAACAGACCAGGCCTGGATCCTGGAGAATTTCTGGAAAGCTGACTCGTCTCTGATGAGCTGTATAATTTCTGCCTTCTGTCGCCTTTTTGTAATGGCGTCCTTTAAAAAAAAAAAAAAAAAAAAAATGAAATGGCAGCAGATGGTTCCCCTACATGTAGGTAGTGTGATTTCCAATCTCTCCAAGTGAGAAAACTCTGCTGAAATTCTCTGACAGGAGAGGGGGGGGGGGCTTGAACAATGTCCCTGCATATTCACTGGTGGAAGCAGCTTGTTAAGTTTGTCCTTTCATGAACACTTTAGTCCCTTTTGTCATTATTTTTAGCCTTTCAGGTGGCTTAACTGTCATCTGACAATACCTCAGATGAACCAGATGCACCGATGGCCGTCCGCTCTTCCAGCGCACTCCTCGTCAAGTGGATAGCCTCCTTTACACCCTCCCGGTCCCACGGGGGGGTAGGAGTGCTTGAACCAGCCAGTGGAAACGTGGAAAAACCTGACAGGCCAGCCAGAGCACCTAGTTGACTTAACCCTCAATGGAAACCCTCGAATCACGTCCTTCTGGTGCAGCAGCGAGTGATGGCATGTGGGGGCTTTGGAGTGCTTGGCGAGGTATGGAGCTGGTGCGGTGCACCTTCTCTGGGTCTCTCCCCTGGGGACTCCTCTGGATGCACGCCAGTTGCTGCCATGCCCCATATCGGGCTGTCGCTGTACCTCCCGTCCCATGAACCCATCGACCTGGTGAATGCTCCAGGGCCCATCGGTGAACCTCCTGCCAGGGCCTCTCTTCGGGGTGTTCAGTGTTTTTCTCCTTTGAGATGTTCAGGAGGTTTGGTGTTTTTCTACTCCTTCCTTCCTGAGTGTTTGTCTCCTTCCTTCTCTTTTGCAGTGTTTATTTCCTTTCTCAGTTGTGAACACGGGGGCTGGGGGCAAGTCAGGGAGGGCGTGAATGATGATGGAAGTGGTGGCTGCCAGGCTGAGCAGACCATTTGATCCAAAGTGACGTTCATTTTTGAGAAAGCCGGGTCAGCCTGTCACTCAGGGGCCCAATAGTGACATCTCTCTACCAACCCTGGGATTGGAACCTGCGACCTTCCGATCACATGCACAGTTTTCCAACCCCCAGAGCAGAGGGAGTGGTTTGGCTGCTTCTATTCAGCCGCCTTCTTGGAGCCTCTCTTTAAACCTTAAGTCTAAATTATTAACAATGTCACAGTTTGGACTGGAGATAACGTCACCCGGTCAGATGTTCTAATACTCATGGGGGTGAGCCCCGCTGGCCTGCCTGGGCCTGGCCCCCTTCGGCAGGCGCTTGCCCGCGTCCTCCTGGCTTTCCCAGCTTGTCATGGTGACTCGCCCCGGCTGTAACCGTTCTGCCGTCGCCTCGGGACAGAGCCGGGGCAAGTGAGATCAGATCATGTCACACCACACACTGGTGATTCCGCTGTGAACAAGTCCAGACACGAGAGCACTCCCTGCGTGGAGATGGCTGTCTGTACTCACCTCTGGCTTGCCACTGAGGGAAGAACCTTGGCTAGATTGCCGGCAATCGGGCTTAATTATTGCTTATTGCGTGAGCCCATCTGCATGTACTTTTAATCTGGGATAATTCCACGTAATACAGCACAGCATTTGACTCAAAATAACCCCAAGCAATCGCAAACAACACTGACAAGTGATGTAATTAGATAATAATGTGACGTAACTATTGGCTTGCTTGTTATTCACCTTGCATGAGGAAGTTATATACCTTCTACCTTTTAATTTTAAAAACTCCACAAATCTCAAACTCCACAAATCTTTAAGTGGAGTTCTGCAGGTGGGGGTTCTTGCTCAGGGCTGCCCCCTCATAAAAGCCCTTTTTGGCACTTAAACCAGCAATCCTGAGCTACCCAGTGTATGCTCTGCTGCCCTAATGGCTTGACAGGAAACTTTTATCATCCTGGGCACCTCTAACATGACCGTGGATTTAGTTTGTGCCTTAGAATTTTAACTAGTTAAATGTGGAGAAAAGGAGTTTTGGTGAAAACTTGATGGCCAGTGGAAGATGAGGGCTGGAGGTCAAGTGTCATCATGCTGGGGGTGGGGGGTGGACTTGTCATCATGCTGTCAATAAAAGCAGCGCGAGGTTTCCGACCCACAGGACGCTGGCATTACATCACCTCTGAACTTTTTCTCTGTGTCAGAATGTATGGATTACTCTGTATTTTGTAATGTGATGCTGCCTCTACACCCGAAGGCGAGTGTGTTGCTCTCCAGGGAGCGGCGTTTGTCCTCCCATCTTCACGTGTGACTGAACTGCCTGACCTACTCACGGGGGCCGCCGTTCACACTGGGATCCTTATAGTCCCACCTTTTTTGTTTATCCAGTATATACAGGCCGGTAGCTCACCTCAAGGGCTGTGTGAGTGTGAATGGGGCGTGTTTTGAGTTCATGTGTAACGCTCATTGATGGACCAAATACTTTAGCTTACTGGGGTTTGCCTGTTTTCATATTTAGGCTCTGAATCAGCACTACCTTAGGTGGTTAAGCAGTCATTCTGGAAACGGCCGGTTGTGCGCTCAGAAGGCGTTACCAAGTGCTGCTTGGTGTCAGAGCTCCACCTAGCTGCAGCACAAGGCATGGCAGCGGACTGAATTTTTGTTTTCTAGAATTTTTTTTCTTTTTTGTTTTAATAATGAGTTATGGAATCTTCCCCACTATAAGACATCGCAAAAAGTGTGATGAAAAACTGAACATCCTCTCTGCTGTGTTTACTTTGTGGTTAATGCGCCCTTCTGGGTTTGCGTCATGCACCTTGTGGGCTTCGGTTTCGGATCCATGTATGCCTCATGTCCGTGTGCCCTGTAGTGATGGGCTTTCTCCTGCTTTTCGCAGCAGGACCAACCCGAAATCCTTGTCCAGAAAGCGCAGTGAGGAGCTGGCCAGCCTGCAGGGGAGCCTCGTCATGCTGGAATGACAGGGCTCTGGTAAGTCACTGCAATCAGAACCTGCTATCTGCTATACAGACCACTAATCACAGTTACTATGGCAGCTTTTTGGCTTCCCCCAAACACCCCCCCCCCCCTTTCAGGGTACCCCTCCTGTGCTGGCTCAGGGTAGGTGGGCAGTTCTTGGGAACTGCCGCGTGCTCCTGTTCTGTCAGTGAGGATGGTCAAATCCGATCTTCAGTTAAATTTTCTTTTAATAGTGTAGTTGCTAAAATGAGTTTTGAAATTCTTTTTTTTTCCCCAATGACGTTATACACAGTTTCAAATCTTCAGAAATATTTTTTTTATTTTCATTTTCGGGTTTAGGTATTTGTCAGTTTTCAAGGTGAAATGTTAGAATGCATTTCGGTTGCGGGAGCGTTGGCGGTCCCAGCCCGTGACTCGAGGCGGCGCCGTCGACGTGGGCGGGTCCCCCTGGGCGGGTCCCCCTGGGCGCGCTCTTCTCAGGCACGGTGTTGGGGTCACGCCCGCTGCCCGTGGGTTTTAGCTATAGATGATTCTCACTGGCATGCTCCTCGCAGTGAAGCCTTTTCATCTTGTGTGCCCACAGCTTTGCAAAGGCCCTGTTGGCACGTGGCGTTTGACGACAATGAGGACATTTTTGGAGTAACGACTGATGGAATGGGAATGATGAATGTCCCGGATGGGCGCTCGAAAGTCTCCACCTATACCGCTCCTGTCTCTGAGGTGAGGGGGTAACTCCGCTTTCTCACGGCTCCTATTCATCCTCGGCACTCGTTCAAGCTGCCGAACCCTTATTCGGATCAGTGTCATGTCCGGAAGACATCTGTGACCCTTTGAGTTTGATGCACTTCCGGGTCAGATATCTTAATGCTGACGCCTACTCTTCCCTTCTGCCTCACCCTGGAGCTGGAAGGGCTGTCTCCTGGTGTCTCCTGGTGTCTCCTGGTGTCTCCTGGTGTCTCCTGGTGTCTCATGGCTGACCTGTCTTCCTTTATTCCCAGAAGAGCAGCAGCTCGGAGTCTCTCAGCGACAGGGGCTCTTCTGAACTTAAGAAGAGCTTTGATGCCGTGGTGTTTGACGTCCTCAAGGTCACCCCAGATGAGTATGCGGTAAGCTTACCTCTTGGTTGTGTCTCGCCGTTTTGTACGAAATCTTTTATTGCTTTTATTTATATTTATTTTTTATATATATTTATTTTTTCAGCAGTAACCTGTAGGGTGTGAATCTGGTGTCTCCTTTTAGCAGGATACAATACGTTGTCTGCATTTTTAATATTCGTACATAAAACAAACAAGTTAAAAGTAATAGTCTTTCATTCAGCCTGGTGGGCAAAGGCTCTTGGGCCCAGTCTCCCTGGTCCTGGCTCAGGAGGTGTGTTATTCAGGGACAGAGCCTGACCCTGGCTGAGTGGCTGCTGTCTTCCCTCCTGCTCCCATCCCAAGAGGACACACTAATGTCATCCTCCTTTGGAGGGCATGAATTCGTGCTCCTGCCATGTCAGATTTGCTAGCTGGGAGCAAAGTCACCCAGCCCAGTGCTCAACAGCCTTAGACTGTAAACACAGTGCATGTGTTGGTGCCCAGGGGGTGCTATTTCCTCTATCAGCAGCTCCCCCTACCCCTCCTGACCCATCTCTTATATTCCATGTTCTTAATTGTGTTTTTATTATTATTTATTATTGCCTGCAAGGACAAATGAATTTTGCTCATAAATTCATTGTGAGGATCAGATGTGTGTTTTTTTTTTTTTTTAAATGTAGTGCTCTCTCTCCCCCTCTCTCTCTCTCTCTCTCAGGGCCAGATCACACTCATGGATGCACCCGTGTTCAAAGCTATCCAGCCCGAGGTGAGTAGTTGCCACCTTCCTAATACTGGCACAGTAGAATTGTATCTCCCCGTTTTCTGAAGCTGCTCCATTGGAACCTGTAGCTGAGTGTATCCAGCAGGGGGCAGTGTGCTACAAGCTTTGGTCTGGTACGCCCCATTTGTCCTTGCAGCAAAGCACTTGAGGGGCTGATTGATTCCCTTCAGTCTTTATGAGCTCACCATAATGCTAAAAGAATAAATATCTCAATAAATTATAATGCAGTAGCTGGTAGCATTGCCTAAGCTTAGTGAATTAGCTCCTCTTCTATGATTGACACATTCTTTGCCAGTCTAGTTAAGACCATATACTTGCTTATTTAATCCACAGAGGTTGAACTGGTCGCTAATTTAAGGTTTTGATGATTGCCTCACTTTCCTCCAGGCCATGTTCATAGAAAGGTACATATGCATAATGTGTACTAGTGTTTTGTTAGGTGTGGGAGTCATTGGATACCTTAATTGTACAGTGGTACCTCAGAACTCAAACATAATCCGTTCAGAACTCCGGATTGAATCCTAAAAAGTTCGGGTTCTGATCGAATTTTCCCCATAAGAAATAATGGAAAACCAATTAATTGGTTCCCGACCCCAAAAAATTACACCTAAATGTTTTTTTTTTTTTTAGCATTTAAACACAAAATGAACAGGATAAATTAAGAAGAGCATATACTGTACTAAACACATCTAAGGACATTTATCAAAACAGTAATTCGTAAAGTAAGAAAATAAATGTATCCAAACAATGTGTAAAGTTAAAAAAAACAATGTGTCCTGCCCCGATCTTCCGCTCCTTCCGTGTGCCACGCCCCCCTCGTTAACCCCGTGTGGAATCCCCGTGTTATCAGCTGTTTCTAGTTGTTGTCATTAGTCCTCTGTATTTAGTCCGCGTTTGTTTGTTTCCCCAGTCTGGTCATTGTATTGTCCGTCTGCGTTTTGCCTGCCTTACCTGTAATTAAACCCCGTATCCCCCGATACCCTGATGTCTGTGTCTCCGTTCCGTCCCCGCTCGGCACAACAATATTATTATAATTAAACGTATTAATGGTTTATTATTAATATTAAAATAAGAAATCTGTATTTTAAAATGTATTTTATTATATAACTACTGTTACTATCTATCATTGTCTAAATGTATTTTTACTGTCTAAATATATGTATTCAGCTTGTGTAAACATGCACGATGCTATCACAGCGAATGCGAGGCTGGGACTGAAGCATTACCCTTTGTTTCCGCTGAGAGACGTGCCGCGTAACTCATTTCCCCGCTCGTACAAGTTATCTTAGGTCGGCGTTCACGGTTTGACTTCTGAGATTCAGATGGAGCTCTAGGTAATTTTTTTTCCGAACTGGTTGGTTCGACTTTTAAGAAATTTGAGTTCTAATGAGTTCGAGAACTGAGGTACCACTCTATATTATTTCCCCTCTCAGTCAATAATTGGCTGCAGCTTAATTGAGCTTTTTGAAATTCTGTAATAAATAGATGTCTTTTTCATGGTAATAGCTGGTAGGTTGTTTTGTTAACCTGGCTTGCAGCGCTTGAAGACGTATACTGAAGGGAAAAAGTGATGAGTTGTTGATGCGGTCATCTTGCTGCTGAACCGCGTGATCTTGTGTGACATTCCTGGAATGCTGGGCGCCTGTTTGGGTGCTGCTGCCGATTGCATCTATTATGGCTCACTGCTGACCCAAAGCAAGGCCGTATGGGCTGCAGTCTCGGTGCCAGTGCACACTGTGCAACAGCTCCTGTAGCTCAACACGTAGAGCATTGTGCTAACAATGCAAGGTTCATGGGTTTGAATCCAAGGGACTGAAAATAAATTGTAACTCCTCTGAATGAAACGTTTACATTTGTTCAGCAGATGCTTTCATCTAAAGTGACTTACCGGTGCGTCAGCCTCAGCAGGATGGCTCCTCTTTGGCCCCTGGGACCCTCTTTACTTTTGGACCCCCAATGTTTGGGGGACCCCTGTTGGCCGCAAGAAGTCATTGCACTGCAGTCTCCTGCTCTTATTACTACTGAATGAAGTTCGGCACTGTGCTGTCGGACTGTCAGAGTCCATTGGAGTTTTCTGTCTGCTTTGAACCTTCACGTGGCCGTGTGCTTGAACGGGGCTGCTGTTCTCTGACATCCCGAAGCCTCCTGCCTGGCTTAGCACAGCCTCTGTCATGCTTCAAGGACGTGTGGACTGGGCCAGGCCGGCAGCACATGATGTTTCGGTTAGAGAGCATCGGGCAGCTGGGGCCCGAGTTTCCAATCCTGCCCCCCCCCTTCAGATTTATAATGGAAAAAACATCTGCTCATGGGGTGGTGGGGGGTTACTCCTGATATTACTCATTGTCAGAGCCTAACCCTTAAATAATATAAAGCCTTTGCCTGGATTTATCATTAAAAGCAGTGAGTTGTTCTGTGTGGAGGAAAATGCAGGAAGCCTCCTGCCCTATAGCCACGATATAACACATGGCTGCCCAGGTGGGAACCAGCCCATGGTCTTCAACCTGGGCTGAAGCAGGATGCTTGGGTGTGAGTGAGTCACAGAGGCCTGTGTTAGGCCCAGCAAACCAAAGGAATGAGTGTGTCTGACCAGAGAAGGGAAATCACACCCCCCACGTCCTAAGAAGTGACTCTGACGTACTGCTAGAGGCAGAAATGCATGGGGGGGCAGGCACTGGGTTCGGTTACAGGCGGGACATGAATGATCGACTCCTTGTGCGTAATTCAGTAGAGCTCTTCATCACGTACAGCCCAGGTTTATTTTGGGCACATGGGTTGTTGTAAATGAAGGCTACCACTGGTCTGTAGGCTCAGCACTGTAGGGGGGTTTGGCCAGGATGTATTTCAGGAGTATTTCAGCTGTGGTTACATGCCGTCACTGTACAGGTGAGACATCATTGTCTGGCATCAGCTGCCTTACATGCCTGGATGAGCCTGGAGCAGTTTTCTTAAGGGAAGCTCATTTCTGCTTCCTACAAGGGTATATTTACTCAGGAGGGCTGCTTAGGGGTCTGTGTGACTGAGATGGCGTTCATCCTGGTCATGGGCTGTAGCGCTATGAACATAAAATCTTCTAGAGTCGCTTCCTGGTTGCATACATGTGGTGCAGATTTATCGCCAGTTTGAGACTCAGATTTCTGTATCTGTAGTCTCCTTTTCCTCCTGATGCGGAGGACAGTTGAAGGCTATCTACATCCCCCTGGGTTATCTGACTGCCTGTTCTCTTGTGCAGGTTTGAACAGAGTCGTTCTGGACCACTGAAACATGCAACTTCAATCACTCATTCTTCATGTTTTTTTTTTTTGGGGGGGGGGGGCGGGGGTTATTAAATCTGCTTGAGACGATGTCTGGTTTTATTCAGCTGCCGTGAGCGGGCCAGACCCTCATCTACAGTTTGGGGCCAATAAGTAGCCGACTTCCCCCCAGACAGGCAAACTGGACTCAGTGTGGCAGTGCAGGGGCTGCATACAGTGAGCTTCTTCATCCTAACTGTGGGGGGCGCTCGCTTCCATTTTTCCAAGTGATGCTGTGCATAAGCAGAGGCTCAGGGGGCGGAATCTGCTTTAGCCTTTGTGTAATGTTATTTCATTTTATGTGCATGCTCTAAAAATGGAAGTCTAACAAAATTACCCCATGGAAATTTTAGCTGTGAAATAGTGGTGCTGTGTGGTTTGAATAACTTTCTATTCATTATATCCATTAAACCCATTAATTGAGTCGGTCGTTCTCTGGTCCAGCTTCATCATTTCTGCATTTTGTGCTTCTTCTCTTTGGGGTCTTTGAATCTCATTTTCTTGACGACTTTTCCACTGTCCGTGCTATTTTGTTTTGTTTTTTTTTTTTCTCTCTCATGGGGGGTTAATTCTATTCAGGGAAAGTGGATGCAAAGACTAGAACATTTCAGTGTTCCTGGAATTGTCATTATTTTTCAAGAGGATAGTCCAGGCAAATGTTTTCTACAGTTAGTGGGTGTTTGCGATCTGACAAATTAGACCAAAGCCGAGGTTTTGGTGCTCGCCTCTTAATGCCAGCCGGTCAGTGAAATGCCCATGGGCTTTCCATCATGATGTCAGAGCCTGATTTACAGCCTTTCTCGTTTCCCATTTACTGTGAAATATCCCAGTTGGCCATTGTAGTCCTGTCCAGGTTCCTCCTGATTATGGGCTATGGAGAGGCTCGTAAGAATGCAGGCCTGCAGCTCGTGCGTCTTAACTGTGTCCAGCCGAGCTTTACAGTGAATCCCTCTTCTTTGGATGGGCTCCTCTGATTTTCACGCTCTCCAGTGTAAAACGTTATGACGTCTTTCTGTGGTGGAGCCGCACTCGGCTGTTCTGCAAAGGACGGTGTTTCCATTACGTCAGGCATTGCTTGTATCAGGGGACGGACAGGGTCAGATGCCACTTTCAGCTGCAGCGACCTGACATGACTTTCTCTCATTGGCTAAATGCCATCTTGTACTTTCTAGGAGAACCATAGTATAATGTTTTACACTGTGCCATTTTCAAAATCTGTCAGTGGTGAAAAAAGAAAATACCATTAATTCCAGTTGTTCCTGTTTCACTTAACATTTGTCCAGTAGGACCTGGAGTTGGGACTCCACCAGTGCTTGTTTTTAGTCTTACGGCACTTAGGGCCATCTTCAGGCAGTTTCGTTATTTTCTAATTAAAAATCCAATGTTGTGAACTTGAGGTTAGCCAAGGCTGATACTTCCGCATTTGCTTTCACACTGACAAGTGGTGAATTGTGAGCACTGTTCTTACAACATGACACACTTTATGAGTAGTTTGCGTTTAAGAACACAGCTGTTAGTCATTAGTACCTTCGAATTTGGTGCCTTAAAAACAGATTTTTATTTAAAGGCTTTAAAAAAGCAAAGAAGCAGCCCTTGGATTAGCATGAAAGCAGACCCCGCTGTGTTAACATGTCCCCGGGGGGTGTCTAATGACTGTGGTTCAAGCTGAAATAGCCAAGCTGAGCAGTAGATTGTCTCCCTCTGTCTGTCAGGGTTGCGTTTTAATTGTAGCATTTAGCTAAAACGGATATTACCCCTGAGTTTATGAAACCATCCTGGACCAAAATCACGCTGGTGAACTGTTCAGTCAGCCTGTGTCTGTGTGTCAAACACTTTTTTCAGGACCATTTTTACTTTTCTGGGCAGTGTCACCTGCAATTCCTAATTAGAAATGAGATTTTTAATTTACCCATGTTTCTGCAGAATTGCACCATGAGATGTTTTTAAGAAAATACAATCCATTCATCCATCCGTCATTCAGCCGCTTAGCCCGGTCTGGGGGCTGGGGTATACCCTGGATGGGATGCCAGTTCATCCCTGGGCAAAAACACACCCATGCAATAATACTCGAATGGCAATTTAGAGACACTGGTTATCCTTACTGCATGTCTTTTGGCTGCAGGAGCAGATTGGAGCACCTGGAGGAATCTGGCAACACAGGGAAGCACTGCTGCTCTGTGTTTAGTCAGTTATAAGCCTGTGGTCATACACTGCAGCAGGAAGGCCAAACTTACAAATAGCTCTCCCCAGTCAACTCCAGCCATAGACACACAGGCCGTATTTCAGCGTGTCTGCGGCTGACTGTCTGCTAGCGGACGGCCTCTTCCCTCTTGGCAGCCCATTAACCCTCTTGAGCTGAAAAGGGAAACTACAACCGTGGGGAGCTGTGGTCCTCGGGGTTCCGCTGCAGATGGGGGGGAGGCCCCATGTTACAAACCCCATGTTCCACCCCTGTCCAGCAGCAGTTTCTTGGTCACATCCATTGCCTTGTTGTGACCACTGCCGACAATTCAGGCAAACTCTTTCAAATAACGTTTAAAGAGGAGGTGTTCTTGATGGAACGTGGATGCTTTCCGGGGGGGGGGGGGGTTTGGGGGGTTTGTGGGGTTTGGAGTGTTGTGTATTTTCTGAGACCAGTGGTAGAGACACAGGGTAGTGACTTTCTCAGGCTTCCAGCTTAGGGATTGTTTTACCATTCATCTGTTTGCATTCAGATCTTGGCAGTATGAACAATCTTCTGGAAATGGGCACCACCTCTTGGGCTGCCAGATCTGCCATGTAGACCTGCAAAAATGCATGATGATGAATGGGGGCCACGTTAGCCAAAGCACGCGTGTCAATTCTGACCAGCAGCTGCCCAAGGCAGACTGACTGGCTGCTCGCTATCGGATTCTACACAGACTGGTGATGATTGACAGGCAGATGCACCCTGCAGATGGTTGTGTTCTTAAGGGTCTCTCCAAGATAAATGGTAGCTGGTACCCCCACAGACTCTTAATGTACCCACCATCCTGCTTCAGGCGGCTCCCCTGAATTTTATACCCAGAGTGCAGAGGTGGGATTGCCACTATGGGAATGCTTAGTCTCAGGGAATAGGGATCCCTTTAAGTAACTTTTATGGAGATACATGGTGCCACATACATTTCAATGTCATTTGTTGTTCTGAGTAGCGATATGACTGTAAAACAATCTCTACTTTAGGTCACTGTACTGATATACAATATTGATATTATATATTGATATTATATATTGATATTAATGACTGAAAGTCAAAATGAATTATGGTTTCATTTGTCCAGATCAATGTTTCCCAACTAGAAAACATGAGTGCATCTCTGCTGAACATAACATCACTTAAGATTAAAAAAAAAATACAAATTGACTAAATGTCCAAGTGCCTGACATGAATGAATATTTAAAGTATTGGACTATTCAAATGCTCAAAACATGTTTTTTCAGTGCCGTTAAGATATTTTTCTTCACCAAATTTGACTATATATGTTTTTTGTGAGTTATTTTTTCTTTACATTACGCTTGTTTGGCTCATTTTTCTTTATGGTACATGTGTTGTGCTTTGCAGTATTTCTCTTTGGGTTTCACTATCTGGCATCTTAACATGGTGTGGGTGGGCTAGGCTTTGTAGGGGTGTCGGTCACTACCTGATCTGTACCACCTGCCTGATCTGTACCACCTGCCTGATTTGTACCACCTGCCTGATTTGTACCACCTGCCTGATTTGTACCTTACACATCTGCTCATGTACAGTATTTTCAAGCATACTTACACAGTGTTATGTTTTCTGGCACTTCCTGATCCATTCATCTTGCCATTTCACGGCAAATCATATTGTCTCCATTTACAATAAATAAATCTGTACACAAAACTATGTATGCATGCATGCATGCATGTATGCATGTATGCATGTATGTATGCATGCATGCATGTATGCATGCATGCATGCATGCATGCATGTATGCATGTATGTATGTATGTATGTATGTATGTATGTATCAGTATAAACATGCATTATCAAGCCACTTCATAAAATTGATCTAATATGAGCTTAAAATTCAATATATTGTTCAGCCCTAGTTCTGAGTTTGCTGTGCTCCTTAAATATAGTAATTTATCAGTGGATGAAAATACTAAACACTTCCCAAAAAAAACATTTATAATGCCCGGCTGTGATGGCCATCATGTTTGCCGCTGTTTGACTTCCTGTCCTTTCCGCTTTATTAAAAGCAGTAAAGTATTATTAACGGGATTTGTAACGTAGACTTCGGCCAGTGAATGCAAGGTCTCTGCGTGTTCCTGCCCGGCAAACCGTCTGTAGCAGACTGATTGTACCCAGCCCTGCAGAGCAGCAATGTGGCAGTTGTCTCTCGCAGGCCAGACATTTAAGCCAAGAAAATCCTTGTGCTAAGTTCAGCCTCTGCCAGGAGGAAGGAAAATTTAAACAGAAAAACTAAGCATGAGCACATGTTTGTTTGCTCCTCTAAAATAGATTCCAAAAAGCAGGAAACTGGAATCCCTCTCTGAAGTCATCGTAGAACTTGTACGTGCCGTCGATGCCTTCCTATACATACTAAATAACTGTTTCCATTTTGTTTGTATAGGGAAGTGCTAGTCTGCCCTGGTGTGGCCCAAGGTTCGAGGGGTGGTTGTTCAAGGCAGCCATTCCATGGGGACCGACAGGAGAGAGAGAGCGTGATGAATGTGGCTTACATAAGATTTTCCTCGGATTACATCAGCTCGCATGTTCGGTTATGAGCTGGCCCTGAGCCCTGGGCAGCCCTCAGGACCCAGGAAAGCCGTCTCACGCCTGAGTGTGGTCCGTTTCTCTTGTACTTATAGCTCAGGAGATCTTCAGTTTTCTCAGCTGGAAAGTCTCGAGGTCTCCAAAGGTAAATTCTTGCATGGATGAGTTGCAGAGTCTCTCATCACTCCGTGCTAGTGTTACCGCTTGTTTGCTCCCCGCGATGTTACTGAAGTATACCCGACGTTGAGTTTATTTAACAGTACATGATTGGTTATAATACCCATCTGGTTCCCCACCTTTACCCAGTGCTTCGATTGGTCCGTTTTCATTTTGTGGTATTGGAGTCAGAAATGCATTTCGGTTTGATTACAGCCCTGCCGTGCTGCAAGGGTTCATGGTTTGGCTCAGTGTTGGTGCTATGATGAGTTTTTTGGACTCTGTGAGTCTGGAAAAAGATGATGATGAGGATGATTTATGCTGCTTTTTCTGACCCTTAGCCATGTTCAATCCCCTCTTTTCCACAGGAGCTGTCGAGCTGTGGCTGGAATAAGAAGGAGAAGCACAGCTCTGCCCCCAACGTGGTGGCCTTCACACGCAGGTTCAACCAGGTAGGGGCCACCTGGCGCATTAGCACGTTAGCACGTTAGCGCTTTAGCTTAATAACCAGGGTGTGTTCGCACGTTCCATCCTGCCCTTGGCTGCCGCCCGGCACTCTGCATGCCCACCCTTTTGCTCAAAGTGTATGTAAGGTGTCAATTATTTTCCAGCGTTCAGTATGAACAGATGATGGAAATTCGCAAACCTTCCCCTGAACCAAAACCGATGATAATGTTCACGGGCCTGGAATGCTGCATGGAAACAAACGTAACTGGATATGAAATGGAAACCAAAACAGAAAGTAGCCCTTCTTTCGGACCGTAAATTGTTCTTTGGAAATTAGGGTGATCAGTTTAATAACCGTAATTCTCAATTACGGATTACACTTTGGTTTATAGTTCTGTGCTTCACCCCGTTCTTGTTTGTCTGGATTCTTCCCCAGGGAGCTCATTTCGTTACTGGGATGCATGTCTGCAGCCTTAGCTGCTCATGGCACAGTGGGGCAAGCCTTCCCAACCTGGAGTGAGAAACTGAGAAGTGGGTTAGCAAAAGCACCACTTTTAGAAGTAAATATGGAGCAGTTCAGAAAGGACCTCTCTCAGGGGGATTTAACAACCAGAAGAGAAGAGTTCTCCAGGGTGCCGTGGGTGATGGGTCATTTGTTTCTTTTTTTACTCTACAGCTTTGCAGAACCGTTTCTGCATACAGTTACTTTCTGTAGTTGACCTAAGATAGGCTTTGTTCTCCAGCATAAATATTAGCATGTCTGAAAAGGAACATATTCCGAGTGTCATGTGGAAACTTCCATTTCTTACAATCGCTAAACTGCGATTCAAGATGTTAATGATGTAGAAGCCAGGAGCCCCTGCTTTTCGAATGATGTGCATTGGAAAAAGAGGGCCTGGTCTCGCGTGTGCTCCTCATGCTAAGTTCTTCTCCTCTTATGTCTTCATTCCTTCCCCAAGGTCTGAAAACATGTGAAGAAGTTTATTTGTCGGGTGCCTCAGTCAGTGTGGCCACAGCGATGGCGTATGGTAGAGTAATTCAAGAACCCCCCCCCCCCCACGTCTCAGAAAGCTATCTAAAGCTCAGCCAGTACCTGACTTCAAGTCATCCCCAGACTGGGTTTTGAGCACCTCAACTGCCCTGATCCAGCCAAGCTTCAGAAATTATCTGAAGATAATTTCCTTAGATTTTGTCCCATTTTACAAGCAGGATGCTTATGTGACTAAATGCCTTAGACCTGTGTTACCACGCTCTCAAATTTATTAATATTATTCACTCGGAACAGTAAACTCTTTAACGGGACAGTTTATATGACCATAAACCTCACTATAAAACCCAGAGAGTTTCGGCTGGTGACTGCTCCCTGCAGAGTGTTGACCAGGTGGCTCTGAGCAGCTGATCCCCACCCCCCCACCAGCTCAGGGAGCCTTTTCTGGCCTGGCTCTCACTCCCCTGGAGTGTGCTGGCCACTGCTCAGCCATGCAAAGGCTCATCTTACATCTCCACATCTTGCCGATGTTCTCAAGATCTTTCACTGATTTTTATTAGTCGGTTCTTTTATCCAGGGCCGGGTTCCACGCCTATAATTTTTCATGGGCCCGTGTTGATAGCAGTGAAGGAATCCATCCTAGAGTGGGCTTTTATGTCGACACCGTCCAAATATGTGAATTTGAGACCTGAGGTCGTTACGGTCTTACAGACGAGGCGATATCTCCTCTGTCTCCTCCTGGCTGCCTCATACTCCCGCTTCATTCACAGAAGCCTCGCTCGGGGCAGATGTTCCACATTAGCCGGTTGCTGGCCGCTTCGCATAAGGTCCCGGGTCGCTGGGGCTGCGCTGCTTTCCTTTGTTTGCTTAGCTTCCTCCAAAATCAGGTGACGTCTCTTACTGGAAAAGTGCGGTATGTGGAAAAAACGTTCGGAGAAAAGCCGCTAGGTAAGGCTGTGTGGCGGTACCCACGGGCAGCATGAATGTCTGCCCCTCTTTCCTTTTATAAATAAGGCTCCGGGTGATTTATACCTGCTTCAGCCTGTAAGCTGTTTTACAGTAGGGTTTCTCCTCAGACTGAGCGCTGTGATTGGAGTAAGGTGGTGCTGGGTAGGAGGTACTGACCCCCAGTCTGCTGGCCTAACCAGCCAGCTGCTTCTGCTCACGTGGCATTTCCATTTATCCCATGGATTTATCTATGGAAGCGGCCCTGGTGCTTTAGCTTCAAGGATATATTACTTTGGTGCCCAGTATATATGTGTGTGTGTGTATGTGTGTATGTGTGTATGTGTGTATGTATGTGTGTATGTGTGTATGTATGTATGTATGAATGTATGAATGTATGAATGTATGAATGTATGAATGTATGAATGTATGAATGAATGAATGAATGTATGAATGAATGAATGAATGAATGAATGATCACAGACACAGAATCCCGACTAACTGAGCCGCAAACCACCCGGTCGCTGCACCTTTGGGATCAGCCGTCATGGGATGACGCAAACGTGTCACCGCTGTTCCACAGACGTTCCCTGAGTGGAGTGATTACCACTGATCTCCAAGGGCCGTATTTCTGACTTGGCTAAGCTGGGGCCATTTATACAGCCGGTATCTGTCTGAGGGAGATGCTTAGGAACATTTTGTACAGACAGCTGTGGAAAAAAGGGAGGCTTGGGGATGCTGGTGTTTCCTTGTTTTCTGGGAGTCGTGGCTGCGTGGCCTGGTGTCATGGCCGATTTTGAAGGAGCAGAGGTGTCACACAGACGTTTTCCTTTTGTCTTCTGCATTGATTGCTTGCAGTTTTTTTTATAAGTAAAATGAGAACTTGTTTTGAGTATGTGATTAACTTAGCCAAAAATCCTAGGTTTCCAACCAAGTTTAAGAACTGAATTGCTCCTGTGGGTCAAGCAGAGCCTGGCACTAACAATGTGAAGGTTGTGGGTTGAAATCCAGGGAGCCCACATAAATTGTGACCCTTCCCTCTACTCTAAGTCACTTTGGTTAAAAGCATCAGACTAATTAGTAAATATCAATGTGAAACTAAATCTGCCTCAATTTTTTATTAGTTTCTTGCACCATGACCCACAAAACCAAAGTTTCATCTTAGTGTAGATGACAAAGATCCTATGACTTTGATTTTAAATGTTGCATGTTAAATCCCCCTACTGCCAAAAGCTCTAGCCCCTGGTTTATGAGTAAGATGTGAGAAGGTCTGTTCGCTTGGTGATTAGTGCTCTTTTTGTCATGGTTGGCAGGTCACCTTCTGGGTGGTCAGGGAGGTCCTCCATGCTCAGACCCTGAAGATCAGAGCCGAAGTGTTGAGCCTCTACATCAGGACTGCCAAGGTATGCCTTCATCAATAGGTCTTGCGGATGTCGTGGGATGTTTTGGTTCTTTGATGCATTCTGTATGCTGTTATGGTATGAAATCTGACCTCTGAATGACCTCTGTGGTAAGCAATAATTGCCCTTCTTTTCCCTTCAGAAACTGTGTGACCTGAACAACCTCCATGCAGTGATGGCCGTGGTGTCGGGCTTACAGAGCGCCCCGATCTTCAGGCTCTCAAAGACATGGGCGGTGAGTGGAGTGCATCCTCGCTGCTGCTCCACAGAGCCTAGAGGCCGATCTCCTACTTTCCAGGGCCTGTGGAGATCCAAGTGTCACTCTGCCCCTCAGAAATCCTCTTCACATAACAATTTCTAAGTTTGTATAAAGCGAAACTACAAATATTAGTCACTGGTTTCTTTTTCGATCATTAGAATTTTGTTTTAATTACTAAAAAAAATCACCTGTGCAACATTTGTATAATTTCAAATGTTAAATGACCAACCAATAAGGTCACAACTGATGTGTGAGAGTCTTCGTACTTATTTCTGTACCTAGTTTGTTTCCCCTTGAAGAACGTGGTAACCATAAGGTTTTTGGGGATCTCAGAGGAGGGAGTTTTATACAAATCTGTGAAGTCATGATTATTATTGCAGTGGAAGGTGTCTAGAAGTATGGTGTTTCCTCCCTGAAAGGAAAACCGGGATAATTTAGGACTTGGAGCTCTCCTCCTCCTCCTTCAGACGTCCATATTAAGCATTGAATAATGTATGTTAATGCACTTTTTGGTAGCACGCGGAGCTTGTATAAAAGCATCCCAGATTCTACCAATTGCAGGATTCAATGCAAATCCTCCAGGATTCGTACAGTACAGTTATTGTTGATGTTTTCAGACTGGATGAAAGTCTGTTGCTTCGTTTTAAAGTAGAAAACATCTGTTATGAATCCTTCAGACATAACGTGTCATCTGTAACCAAATTTGTATTTGTTACTCAACTGTTACTCGATTCCTCGGGCTGTGTTTGTTTGACAGCGCTATGTTTTGCTCCTGCTGATGTCACATGGCATCATTTGTGCTAATTTGTTCGGTCAGTGTGAAGCTGTTGTGTTTGTAAGGGAAAAGTCACGATCACACTTAATCAGAATCTTCTACTTCATAAGTTTTGAAACTGCTGTTTTGTTGTGCATTTGTTTATTATTACAATAATAGTTATGGTGAAATTTTCTCTCTCCCAGCTCCTGAGCCGGAAGGACAAGGCCGTGTTCGAGAGGTTGGAGTACTTGATGTCCAAAGAGGACAACTACAAGCGCTTGAGGGACTACATCAGGAGCCAGAGCATGAATTCCTGCATCCCATACCTCGGTAAGGCCCGCATCCGCTCCTTTACCAGGCTGGCCAGAGGGAAGTTCCTGTACTGCTTTGTGTCACATGACTGTACACATGTCACCTGAAGCAGGCATGCAAGTGTAGCACCAGACAAGGCTTTTCAGCCATTCCTAAACTGGGGTCAACACCACCGTGACATCCTGAGTACACTTGACCTATGAACTGTGGGGGGTGTTAATATTGCTTTCTCCTGGGGAGGTCCCCTTTGAATATTCTTAGCCCCAGCTGATGGGTGAACTGAATGATACTGCGGACCCCCCCGAGGGGTCATATATCTGGCATAGAGCATGGAAGAGTCACGGTGCGCGGCGAGGTGTGCCCTGCCAGAGGGGTACCATGGGACACGGGGGTTTTTAGCTTGGCTCCAAACACGGGTCATGAGCTTTGGAAAGTGATCAGCTACCCTTGGTGGATTAGCTACCCTTGGTGGCCATGTTTTTGATATGTGTGTGCATGGGAGTTCCTCCTTTTGAAGAGGATAGAATGTTAACATTTGGTGGCTAAAAACGAGATCATTTGGCCTGCAGGTGTAGGATTTCCCTGTATGGCGGTTTTGTCTGACGTCCATAGACTCCTGAATGGAAATGGGAATGTCCCAGAAACGCATGACATGTAGGTTATCTGTCTAGAGCCAGTGCCTTTAATAAAACTGTTTGAAATCCCATAGCTTTTGCTCTTAAAATGGTCCCATGGATTTCGTACCCTTGGTGAGAAACATGATGGTGATGAAATGTCATGATTTGTGGTCTGTGAGCAGCTGTCACCTGTGGGGTCTAGGCCGTATGCACACTGCCTGTCATCTGCGTATCCGCCCCCCACCCCCCCACCCCCACTGGGCTTGTCCCTGGGTGCTCCCATGTCCTCCACACTGAATCCAAAAGCTTTCTAGACGACTGGGCACCTCGAAGCTGTGTTTTAAAGTGATGAAACGTCCACAGAAAGGACCGTACGTTTGTTTCTGCACTGGCTGGGGTTGTGGTTTGGCCTCGCTGTTCTCATTCACTCTGACCTTAAGCAGAAAGTGGTTCGTAGAAGCAAGTGAGCAAAATCCCTCTCTATTTAAAATATGTACTATTTAAAATATGCAACGCATAAGATCATAATAAAACAAACATTGAAAGTCTTATTTTTTATTGCATTGATTCACATAGCAGGAAATCGGTATTTGGGGAATGTTATATACAGTTTCTGGATGGAATTTTGCCGTCTGGATTAATGTTTACCTTTCTGTAGCTCTCGGGGCTGTCAGAAACTGGGCGCCGCTGGTATTCTTTTTTTGAAAGCACTGGCTCTTGCATGGCTGTCGATTTGGTCGCGCTGGCTTTCCGTCAGCGTTCCGGAGCCCCTGGGCGTGCATCCTCCGCACATTTCACTGCTCATCAGCCTCCAGCACTAACTGGAGCAGCAGTGCCCCTTCCCTGGAGGCTAAAGGCAGGCTGTCCTGTAGTGCTGCACATGCGGGTCTGTTGGTGGCCACAGGGGGGGGGGGGCGTGGTCACGTTCAATGGAACTCCCCTTGAATAGAGCCTGACGAACTGTGATGCGCTGGCTGCAGGTTCACTGAGCGTGCCTGACCTGGCAACGTGACTTTTACCATGTCCTGTTTTGTGGTTTCCTCACCTCGTATTTGAAGCGCTCTGGCTCTGCACCAGCAGCTTTGGCCCTTGTCATTTCTGACAGGAGTTATGAATGTGCGGCTATGGGGCTCCGTTCTAAAGGCAAGGAGCTTTTACGAGCCGTGCTGCCTCCCGCCGCGTGCGCGGCCTCCGCTCCGTGTGTTTAAGTCAACAGGCGCCGGGCGCTTTGGCTGGCTTGTAAACCCCCCACTGGCCTCCCCCCCCCGCTTATCGTTAAACTCCGCTGTCTGCTGACAAAACCCTTGGCCTATAATAATCACCACCGCTAAATGGGACTCGCATCATTCATGCCATCATTTAAGGACTTTCAAAGCCCTTCTGTCGTCCCCCCCCCCCACCTTTACTGGGGGGTTCAAATCAAGCTGTGCTGTATCCCATGGACCCGATGGTGGAGTCTCAGGAGGAATTGTCTTCCTCTGGAGTAGGACAGGAGAAGTATGGAGAAGATATTAAGCGCAGGAACAAAAACCTGTTCAGTATGAAGAGAAACAAAACGACTGGAATCCCCCCCGATGAGATCTTAGGGAAAGATGTTATTTTGGTCTGAAATGTGCCTGTGGTTTTTAGCTTGCGGTGCTTGTCTTTTATTTTCCATTCCACTTACCACATTTTATTTATGTGTGGTTATTTAAGAGTAGGTGACACATGTCGCCATGGCAACACTCAGTGTGTTATGGGCCTGTAAACTAGAACGTTTTTTTTTCTTCTTTTTTTTCATTATTTCATGAATGGAAATAATAAAAATATCTCTAATTTTGGATTTTTTTTGGACTCCTGTGGGGATGCAAAAAAATTAGTTTGATCTCAATCGGTTTCTCCAGCCTTCAATATGGGTGAGATGGCCTCAGTGTGAACAGATGTCCCGAAGATGTTCAGCACTCGCGGGAAGCAGAGGCATGGAATTATACAGCTGGGAGAACCCAGTATAACCCGGCTCTGTGGAAACCGGGCTGTGGGTGCCCCTCTGCGATGGGGTATAGTACACCTGCCCGTGTTTCCACTGACAGTGCCCCAGCCTGCTTGGAGGGAGCGAGTTGAGCTGCTTCAGGGCTGTTAGAATCGGCTGTGTTGTTGGGAAGAGGCTCTCGAACATATCAGTGGCGTTGGGCTGACAGGAACCTTCTTGCACCCTTATATGTGTTTCTGTCCCCTGGAGGCCTGGCCCAATTTGAGTTCCCAGTCCCCAGCCTCTGGGTGGGGCTGGATACAGGCTCATTCTGGGCTTGTTGTAGTGTGCAGAACCTTCTTTTAAAAACCACATTTGCAGAAAATGAAGATTACCTGTATCCGACTTCTGTGACAGTCATTCAGGATAGCATCAGGTGGCTCCATGATATCCTGCCCTCGTCACTGGAATAGATATCAGTCTGTTCACAGATTAACACCTTTTCCTCATTTGAACACTGAAAACATTCCCATTTCACGGTGTGGGAAAGACACGGATTTTGAGTACGGAGAGTTTATCTCGGCAGCTCCCATGAAATGGACGTAGTTAGGCTTTCCTTTCCCCGTCAGACCTGGGGGGAAACTGCTGTTCCAGGAAAGTGTCCGACAGCAGGGCCTGCAAGGAGTCATTGATGTATTTGGAATTGATGTTGATGACTTATTTGGCTGCGGACGCACGCTCTGATTGAAATGTTTTGTGACCCCACCTCCAGGCCCATGTGCCGGGCCTTTCCGTCTGTGCCAGCTCCCCAAACAGCCCTCCATCCGAGGATTGCCAGATATTTACCTCACTGTGAAAGAGGCATAAAGTACAAGCATAACCTCCTGAAGCCCAGGATCCACAGTTGGGTTTAATTATAAGAGGAAATGTACATGCTGGATCTGTTTTTGGTGGATTTCTAGCACCTTCTGTCCTTTTTGTGTGTCAAGTCTGATCTATTAGGGGTACACAGAACGACCAGGATGCGTGTGATTCAAAGCAATGTACTTTTTTTTGGGATTGCAGGGTCAGTCCCTGGAGCTATTGGGGTTAAGAACTTTGCTTAAGACGCCAGTGGAAAAGTTACCCTGCCCACTCTGGGATTTGAATAGATTAAAATTTTAAAATAACTTTGTTTGTCCCCGAGGGGCCTTGTGATTACAGGAGCAGCATCATAACCCACTCTATTCCTACACTGGCATGTGTTCTGAAACTGGTGCCAGACTCGTCGCCATAACAACGGGAATGCAAACTGTACCATTGGTGATGCAGTGTGTTGCCATAGAGGTGTGGAGGCAGCTGTGCCGTGGGGATGTCACCTAAGTGTCAGCATCACGGGCAGCGCATTGTTGGACAGTCTTCCCCAGCTGGTCCCTAGAGGTCTCTGTTTGCTGGGCATGGTCTGGCATCTCCTGACCTTCAGCCTGAAACGTCTCAGTTAAACTCACTCCTGGCATAGACCCAAAGGGCTGTTTTAGTAATGGCTGACACCTACATTGGCCAATATCAGTAAAGGCAGAAGATGATGATGATGATGATGATGATGGGACTTGGAAGGACAGAGCATCTGGATCTGCATTAATGCATCAGGGTGATCACAAGAGAAGCTGAGACAAGTGAGTACCTTAATCTGAGGGGCTTCTATCTAGAATCATCTAAACTGACACACAGCAGTGTATGTGATTTGCTTGGTGTGCAGGACAAGAGCCAAAGGTGAGGCATTCGTAGTGGTTGACTGACGTATCATGGCCTGTTCATTACCCATGTCTCCTCCAAGGCGCCTCCAGTCAAATAGTGTGTTCTATAAATAGTTTTAAAACCTCTAGCTCTAAAAATGGACTTCTTAGGAAGCTGGATACACTTGTGTCAGCAAATAAAATATTCAATTATCTTCTTATACGGGACTCACAGTGAATATGGTAGGATAGCCTTTTAAATTCAGGCCTCATGCAAACATAGTGAAGAGAATTGCACAAAAAACAGTGTGAAAAGTTTGAGGGCTGTAGTGAACATACAGGTGTATTTATGTAATACTAAACCTTACAGGCAAGACTGTTCTTACATTAAGCTTTAGATACACTTTTACAGGCATTTAAACATAAGTTTCAAATTATTGCATTTTTAAATGTTTTATTTTTTAAATAAGAGCTTGCTATGTTGTAATAGTGGATCTGTAGAGCAGTCTTGACATCCTTGTGCCGTGTTGTCTTTCAGCATCTTGCCTGAAAGACATCACATCCTCCCTCTCTCTCTCTCTCTCTCTCTCTCCCTCTCCCTCTCCCTCTCCCTCTCTCTCTCTCTCTCTCTCTGCATACATTGTACAGGCAATCATGATTTTTTTCAAATGCATTTTCTGTGGACGTGAAATCCAAGTTCTTCAGATGGAAAGAATGTCTGTTCCTCTTTCTTTCTGTTCCTCTTCCTCTCTTTATCTCTCACAGCTTTCATCCTAGTTCTTCTGTGAGTGTTGAACACAGCAGTGCTGCTCTGTCCTTCATCTGCCTGATTTTTTTATACATTTTTTTAACGTGATGAGCTGTCTGCTCCATTTCCTCTCCATCCGCCTTTTACCATGTTGAGATGTAATCAGCCAAATCACGAACAACACATCTGTACAGTATGTACATCGTCCTCCTATGTAACCATGCAAACTGCCATCTGATTTAAGGGAATTTAGGACAAGAGGCACCAGAGTAAATAAGCAGAAAATAGCCCCCTTTAAAAAAAACAGTAAGGTTTTATTTTGCATAGAGGAGATGGCCGAGCTGGCATGTGGCAGCATCGCCTGTCAGTTTGGTGTGTTGGGTTATTCATGCTCCCCCGAAATCCACACACACACACACACACGTGTATGGAGTTGGGGACGAAGGCATCTGTGACTAATCGGCCCATACAAAAAGTACGACTTCACGGGGATAAAATAAAACGCGACGGAATCTGTTATAAATAAGGAGATAAATAAGTTGGTGAGGGGCCGACCGAGGAGACGGTGAGAGAGAGAGAGAGAGAGAGAGAGAGAGAGAGAACACAGCTGAAGCAGATTTGGCCCCTCAGACGCGCTTTTACAGCGGAGGCTGTATATACATACATATATATATATATATAACCAAAGCAGGTGTGCGTCTCTCCTGTAGCATTGGAGACCCAGTCGAGCAAGTAGGACACAGGTGACGAGTCGTACTGAGGTCTGCCTGTGGTACGAGAGCCCGCCCCCCCCTTGCCATGGGATCCCTGCTGAGGGTCTCTAAGGCCATCTTGGTTTTTGCACAGATGGAGCTTCTGAGAAGTGAGGCTTTCCTGGTGTGTCTGTGCCTCCGGCCTCCGTACTCTCCTGCACCCTATGGCACGTGGCTCCCCATAAACTGGAGTGCCCTGCAGGGGGTGGCATGTCTGAGAGGTAGAAGGCGGAGGCCAGGGGGACAGCAAGCCGGGCCGCTTCTCAGTCGATGGGGCGGAGCATCATGCGCACGGCCTTCATGGAGTAGAAGCCTCCGCCGTATTCGGCCCAGAAGATGCCGTCCTGGAACTTGCTGCGGTAGACTCCTCCTGAGTACCACACTCCATTCAGGTTGGTCTGACCGCAGGCGTTGTACCACCAGCCCCCCTTGTGGAAGTGTGCGCAGTTACCTGTGGAAGAGCACACACCCAATCGAACCCGGGACCGAGTTTCAAGAGACCAATATAGGAATGAGTGGACAATAAGGAAGCACTAAATTGGTGATGCACTGGGGATTCGGGTCTTCAAATGAGGACAGAGGTAGTGCAGTGGCGGTAAAGTGCAGTAGGGGAATATTAACCTCAGCGTGTGGTACAGTGCAGTGATGGGATAGGTGGCGGTCACTGGATGTTTAGCGACTTGTCGGCTCAGGGACTGAAGTTGCTGGTGTGGGTGCTGATGCTTCCCGAGGAGGTGCAGGTGGCCTCTTACCCGAGAAGACGTCTTTATCGCGGTCCAGAGTCGTGAACTGCTTGCCGTTGTGGACACCGAACGAGTCGCCAGCATTGCCCTGATAGGTGCCCAGCCGCAACCTGTAGGACTCGTTCTCAGACTCCAAGTGGAAACTGCTGTACTCCGCATAGACCTTCTTCCCCACCCAGTCCTCCAGCTCCACCAGCAGGCGGTAGTCTCCCTGCTTGGCCAGGTTGTAGATGTTCTCCAGACCCAGCCAGTACTCACCATCTATGTTCCCAAACCCTTTCTATAAAAGAAAACACAAAGCAAACTCTTTAAATGGGTTTATAGTACTGGAGAGGCATTTTCCTGACTTGTTCCATGTGTAGGAAAAACGATAGCTAAAGAGGTCCTTTGAAATGGTTGCCGTAGAGCTTGTATTTAGTGGGGAGATTTAAATCCGACCGATAAACGAAGATTGTCCGCTGGCTTTGTTGTGGCTTTTAGGGTTATGGTGACTAGGGTCACTCATCTGGCCTGCGTGAGTCACAAAGCATAGCTCTAGCATGAGCTAAGCCTGTCAGTTTTCTCTCCTGGTTATTCTCTTATTTTTAGTTAGATCTATGGCAGTTACTGCATCTAACGGAATCTGATTTTTGTGCCAGCTGTTTACATGTGACTGTCTGTCTGTTTGTTTTAAAGATATTGTTCGTATTTGTGAGTTACGGCTTATGGTTGGCCAGGTGGTTTGCGTGCCATACGAGAGGCTTGGAAATCGTATCGTGATTTCTGCATGTGGTTTAAGTCAGGGAAACACAACAGTGTTTTCTTTGGCCCCCCCTGCTGGTGAGAGGATGAACTGGAGGCAATGGAGACCTGAAAGTTCTGTGTGGCTTTTGGTCAGTTGTAGCAAAAGGTCCAATATGGCTGCCCTGTGCCACAGGGACTCTTACTGGGTCTTGTGGAAATTCTAACCCCAATGAGTCCTTGGAATTTATACTCACTCTTTTCATAGCCCTGATTTTTCTCTTTTTGGAGGGGGGGTCGGGGGGGCTTCCCGGCATGTTACATGAATTAGACGTGCAGCCCCCGTCGGGAGGCTCCGCTTTCCTGTTTAACCGGAGCTCGCTTTTCAGAGTGACGCCGGTCCTCCCACTGATGCCTTCGGGATGTGCTGACAGCGCACTGTTATACAAGAACACTTCCTTTGTGCTGTACGTGACTGTTGTGTTTTTATTAAATGGATTTAGCAGGATGTCTTTGGTAATTGTGGGCAATGTCGTGGGTCAGGCTGGGGCTAGATTTTTCTCTGGCTGTGGTGTGTGTGTGTCATTTGTGTGTGTCATTTGTGTGTGTCATTTGTGTGTGTCATTTGTGTGTGTCATTTGTGTGTGTGTGAGTTTGCATAGATCACATTTGGGCACCGAAATGTCCCCAAAGTCTGGAAAACCTGAAACTTTACAGGTTGCCATTAGTAAAACCTGAAATTTCCCTACTTTTGGGGACATCTTTTGAGGTCCCCATTTGCATAACCTCAGTTTTATAAAAATCTGAGAATGCAATCAAAGTAAAAATGCCAAAAGTCTTGTATTTTGGTTGGTTACTAATGGTTAAGGTTAGGGCTCGGTAGGGGTTAAGGTCATCATTATTGGGGTTAGGGTTTTGGTCATAGAAAGATGTAAAACGGAATCCTGCCCAGTACTCCCCGCTCCTTACCTTATAGTTCTCCCAGTTCCTAAAGAAGTTGACCGAGCCGTCCCTCCTGCGCTGGAGGACTGTCCAGCCCCCGTTGTCCAGGCCCTGCTCGCACCATGCCTGGATTAGCCGGTCGCTGTCATCGGCCTTCAGCAGGTACATGCCGCTGATGCCGTGTCCCGCCTGTCGTGCTTGGTAGCAGTCCCGGAACGGTCCTGCGGGGCACAAGCAGTCCGGCTTGTGTCTCCCTGTCTGACTCCTGTGTCATCAACGTCCTGCTTCTCACGTGCTCTGAATTTAGGCAGTTTGCTTACGGTAATCACCTTGCTAGACAGAAACAAGATCGCTACAAATGGTGTGGGGTGGATTCTACCCTGATACAGGAGTAGAATCCAACACCACAGATCCTGGTGCACCCATTTTTTACAGAGGCCATTTTCCGTCTTCCCTGTGGATGGTGTGTCCTGACCTGTTATGAAGCCTGTCTTTGTGAGCTAGGCCGCTTGGGGTGGTGGGTGGGGGGGTGGGATAGCTTTCTCAGCTTGACGGGGCTGCGGTAATGGCTCTCAGAGGCGTGTAGAAGATGACCACCTGCACTTTGTTTTTCATTTAAAGTGCTGCTATCTCTGTTTAGTGGTCTTTCTGAGCTGGGAGTGAACAATGGAATGAATAAGGCTCTTGGTTGTTTATGGGGACCTGTGCCTATTTGGGTGGATCATCTTGGAAAGATGGCTGTTTGTGGTCTGTGCAAACAGCCCGGCCAGTGTGGGCCCCAGGGTTAGTGCTATGGTTACTGATAGCGTTACGGTTAGCGTTGCGGCTAGGGTTAGCGTTAGGGCCTTGGCCTGCATACAGTAAACAATACTACTACTTTTGCTCAAGCAGCAACCCCGAAATGGTGATTCCTGACACTTCCCATTAAGCAGTGGAACTACACACACTGTTTTTAATCATTTGCAATCTCCTGTCTGCCCTGTGCCTATTATGTGTGATTCATGACAACCAGACTCTTAACATGGTTCTTTTCTGTATGATGCAGTCAGGATGACCTCTGCCCACCTGCCCCTCTACCCCCCTTCCTGGATGGTGTCCTGCTGGATTTCTCACAGCTCTAAGCATTCTTTTGGTGAGGCCCCCCCCCCCCCGGGTGTGGCCTTACCCTCGGAGCTGAGGTTCACTGGGGGCGGCGGTGGGAAGCCCAGGGGGCTGTTAGTGGGCAGGGCATCCACTCGGGAGCCGCGGGGGAAGGCGCGGTTGTGGTTCCTCTGGATCTCGTTGGTGAAGTGGTGGTTGAGCGGGATGTTCTCGGGCACCACTTGCACGAGCGGCGGCACCACGGGGGGGTCATGGCGGCCATAGGTGCGCAGGCACTGCTCCTCCAGCGTCATGATCAGCACCGACTGATTGTTGACTGTGGCGGCGAGCGCAGCGAAGCGCACTTCCAGCTCCTTGTAGCGCGCGGCCAGCCGCAGCATGTCGGCCGTGACGTTGAGCACGCGGCTCTCCAGCTGCGCCAGCTCCAGCGCGTTGTCGCGCTTGCGGATGATCTCGTGCAGCAGCTGCATGTAGAGCTGCGTCACGCGCGAGTTCATGTTGCGGCTCTCCTTGCGCAGCAGCTTCATCTCGCTGACCATGTTGCCGTCGACGTCCACCACCAGCTGCAGCGTCTCGATCTCGCGCCGCTGCTTGGACAGCACCTCACGCACGTCTGCGATGTCCATGCGCGTCACGCGCTCCAGGTCCGGCTCGGGCCCCGTGGCGCTGGCGCAGATGGGTCCTGTGATCTTCTGCTGTGGGATCAGGAAGGTGTAGGCGCATTTCTTGCCGTCCTCGTCAGGTGACCTCCGCGGCCGCGACACCGCCTTTTCGGACAGGCTGTCCCCCGGTTTGCAGGCACAGAGGCACAGCAGGGCGTACAGGTTCCAGGCCGCAGGCTGCATAGCTACAGCTGCTGCCCTGGGGGGCTTCCTTACAGGTGGGGGAGGGGGGAACTCAGCCCCTCTGAGTCACCTGTGGGATCACGAAAGATGATGTCATGGCTTCTTTGAAGCGTGCGTGTGAACTGTATGTGGCATAGATGTGTAGCTCTTGAGCCAATACTACTTATACTTTTACCTGGGTGTTCATTGGAACCTCAGCCTCAGGGGGTGGCCAATCTTATCCGCAAAGGGCCGGTGTGTGTGCAGGTTTTTGGGATAACCTGTAGGTTGGCTGTTCAAACCCAGGTGTGAGGACTCTTCAGTCAATCAGTCCTCTAATTAGTAATCTAATTAGGGCGTTGCAGCAAAAATCCGCACACACACCGGCCCTTTGCGGATAAGATTGCCCACTCCTGGCCTAGCTGCACTTACGCCTAATCCACTCCTTGACACACACATGTTTGTAACGTGCCATTTGCCTCACTTGTAAATCACTTTGAACAAAAGCACCTGCTAAATACAATGTAAATGTAAAATGTAAATGTTAACATGGTGTCCCTGTATTCGTGTCTATGCCGGTTCAAATCCCAGGGTCGGCAGAGTGATGTCACTGTTGGGTCCCTGAGCGAGGCCCTTAACCCCAAATTGCTTGAGTGATTGTCTGTGGTTTCTTGAAAATGTACTTTACTTTGTATAAAAGCATCTGCTGAATAAACAAATGTACCGCAATTACACTGTTAATCACATGGAACTGATGAATCTGTGTAATTTCCTAGCGCTGTCGCTATTTGTTTGGGCAGATGGATGAGCGCATGCGGTCGCTTGTGCTGTTATCACTTATCTGGGATTTCCTCGTCGGTCGTGCTGGAAGAAGGAATCCTTCAAATAAATCTAACACCAGTCTGATTTACTTTATGTCAACGACTTGCCCCCCTTTGATTAATAACTACCATTTTTTCAGCTACCTGATACTGAGTACGCTGAGGGAGTACTATAGTCTGCTGCGTTCCTTTACGGTGAACGTAATGGTCTGGGTTTGGTAACTGAACAGCAGAGGTTCAGGTCCAGAGAGTACAAGAGCAAGATTTTGTTTCAACCAACTAGTCACAGAGTACTCAACTGGACGAGTGAAACAAAACCTTGGTCTGGATTTGTACTCTCTGGACCTGAAATCTCCACCTCTGCTCAACAGGGCCGTTCTTGTAGTCGAGTGTAACCCTGAAGAGGCCAGAGCTGCAGACTCAATCAACTGAGAGAGGAAGTTGAGCGGAAGGCAAACGGGCTGGAGACTGGCCTGGATGCGTGAGGCCCGGGGTGAGGAAGCTGTCTCTCTACTTGCCCCCATCCCCGTGTCACAAGCTCGCTACTCGTTGGATGGGAGGGTGAAGGCTGAGCTTCAGCCAGGTACTGGGTGCCAGAAACTACATGCTGGAAAAAGTTTTTCTTTTAAAAAAATTGGCAGCAGCATCCACACAAGAAAGCACATCTACGGATAGTGATGCTGTTGTGAGAACTACATGGTCAGGCACAGTGGCCAGTGCCAGTCAAACCTTTGGCGTGAATATGCAGCCTTGTATGACAGAAAGGCTGCTTCTGATTTACTCCCTGGGGAGTCCTTGTCTAAGGTTTGTCAGCGCAGTGGTAAATTGGCATGACGTCCTAGGTGTTCATGGTTCTGTGGGTTATGGTTTTTTTCTTCGGCTCAGTTCCTGGTCTTTCCCGCTTCTGGTTTGTTGTCATGGGCACATTCGCAGGAAGCAATTACGACCTTTCCCCCCAATTTCCTGCCCTGCTTAGGGGAGTCACTACTTGCCGGTCCTCCCAGCATAATAAGTGGATTGTTTGTTCCAGACTTGAGTGGCTTTGAACATTTACTTTGAATCAGATGATGTCATGGGGAGCCCGTGAACTTCACGGCTCGTTTGCCCTCCTCAGAGCTGGTTAGCCACGCTTTCTCGGCGCTGAGAATCTGGTAGCGCCCCCCACTTCAGGGTGAGCGCCCCCCACTTCACGTCTCTAGGGAACGGCATTGCTTGGAAACGTTCAGAGAGTGCTGGCCTGCGGACACCCAGCCCGAAAGAGGCAGAGTTTGGACGGGATGCATGTAGCGTGTGGCATCCTGCAGTCTTTCTGCTGCCCTGTTTAATAAATATCTTCAAAATATTTCAGAATCATTTAAAAAAAATAAATAAATAAATAAATAAAAAAATAAAAAAATTCTAGCATTGTCTTGGGGGATACGGATATAATTTTTGATTTATTATTCTTCGGTATAACTGTAATCATGTTGATTTTTCTTTTTGCTTAGCGTGTGATAAAAATCTTAGTATAAATAAGAAAATAAATTTAGAGGGTTTCTTTAAAAAGGAAAAGGGTCCAGTAGTACAATTCCTGAGAAATGAAACAGCCAACATCTGGCTTTCAAATCATCTGACGATGAGTCCAAACGTCTCGAAACGCACATGAGAGAGCGTGTTGGGGAGAGAGCATGGCTGTTTAATGCGATTCGAACGTGGCTGGTGCTTAAGATGGGATATATTTATTGTCACTGTGTGAGTGCGGCCTGGAGGGTTTCGGAAAGAGATCAGACTGACATTGGGGTCCCTCGTCCTGCTGTGGTGACTGAGGCGCTAACTTAGCTGGCCTGGGGAGGGTTTACAGCAGGGGTGGGGAACCTGATCCATGGAGGGCCATTGCGGGTTTCTTGGGATGACCTCTCAATCAGCCAATAACAGTGGATCCCCAGGACTGGAGTTGAGAACCAGTGCTTTATTATTGGCTGGCTGACTGGTCATCCCAAAAACCCGCACCCACGCCAGCCCTCCATGGGTCAGGTTCCCCACCCCTGGTTCACAGTGTGAAAAGCCCAAAAACGTTAAGGCTTAATTGAAGCTGGAGCCACACAATTGATATGGTTGGGGGGGGGTGACCCAGAAATCGGGATTGTGGCTGTAAAGGGTGAAGCCGTCGGCCTGCTGCAGGAAGGCGCCGTGTGCCATAGCTGTGGAATGCAGAGCAGCCCTTGCCTGTATGGATTCGGTGCCCCCTCCCCCCATGTGGTTGCAGCGCCCCCATGGGGATTTGCATTGCAGTCAGTGGGCATGCTGTGGCCTTCCTCAGCTAAACCTGTTTAAGCCACCGAGAG